GAGGGGGCAGGTGTCGCTCTCGCTTTGAGTGATACTCTTTGTTGCATGCGTGCTGTGGGTGACGAGAGGCCAGAGTGTCATCAAAAGAGCAGCGGAGGTGTCGGAGTTATTTCTTTGTCATGTCAGTAGCAGAGGGAGCAACACGGTTCAAGCATGGCGCCCCAAACAACAAGGCAGCCATATTTGTTCATAACTTTATTATTAGTTCAGCCTGAGAGTTGACGGATCTTAGCAAACAGTTGCTGAACGCACCCTGACACAATGAGAATGGTGCAAAATAAAAACTACTCTGCTGCAAAATGTTCCCCGGGGTCACACGCGCCCCCCCCCGGTATCGCCCTGGGCCCCTCCAGGGGGGCGCGCCCCACTATTTGAGAAGGACTGGATTTTAACCCTTTTATGTCCATATGCACCGATTGACTTTTGTCTTCAACTTAAAATTCAAAGTATGTCACATCATAAAAATCATCATAATCACAAAATATAAAAGTGTTAAAAGTTATTTTTAATTATTTTAGAACTTCTATGTTCAGCTGTTGAAGTGTAATTGATCAAGAAGAACATTTCTATTCTGTGCTGCAGAGCTGAAGCTGCATTTGTAGATGTTTGTGAATTACCCTTTTATGAAATTATAAGGACTTATTTCAATCCATTTATCTTCATGGTCTGCAATGCGTGTGCTCCTGTCCTTTTCTAACTGTTGCTTAATAAAACATCTGGAGGAACAGGAAATTGAAAGTGAAGCCAGTTACCTCAGGCAGTCTGTCTCAGTCAGCAGCCGTCTCCTCTCCACCACCAGTCCAACGGTGTTGGCCATTCTCTGGGGGGAGTGGGGGATCCGAGCAGGAAGCAGAAACATCTAGAAGACCACAAAACATGGCAGATTGTCAGAAACAATCCAAAATACGACACGTACCAAGTCCTTTTGTGGGTCATCCATGAAAACATGTTCAGAGAATTTTTCTTCCTAAAGATGGCAGGAGGCTCTTCACACATGGGAGGGAGCAGCAGCTACCCCAAATCTTGAAGCTTAGCTTGCCAAAGGACTAGATGCTTTGAACAACCTGTGGCACACATTCCAAGGTCTTTTTCACAGCTGATAGTCCGGTAGACTCGGTTCTGTTGGGGACCAGTATTCATGACATTTTGTTACATTTGAGCTGGTGCGTTTGCATTCACACTGCACTGTGCAGTCGAGTCAACCTGTTGAACCAACCTGTTCCCCCTCTCGCCTGTGGGGGCGCTGCACCAAGAACTACTGGAAGAAACAACACAAAACCTCTGAAGACACATCTTCTTCTGGAAATAAAAACAAAAACGGAGTGGCATCAAGTTTTATCAGTTTTAGGAGTTATATTTTGTCATTTTTCAACAATGGACTCAGCATGAGCAGAAGATGAGACAGAAGACCATGGAGAATATTGATTTCCACACAAGTCAGCTGACAGCTCCATATGAGAGAAATGTGTGTTTGTTTGTCCTGCGCTGTACTCCACTTCCTGCTTGTGGAGCGGGGCTCGGTCTGTTTACATTCACACCGTACTGGAACCGCGTTGGAGTTCTCTTCTACCGGACCCAGACCTAGGTTTTAGCCCGGGCCAGAGTTCGTCTTTTTGTTCCGTGACAGAGCTCGATGGCGAGTTCACACCTCCCTAAACGAACCGGACTTTCTAGAAAAACGAGCTAGAGTTCGATTAAACCGGACTAAACAGGGCTGGTGTGAATGTACACCAAGTCTCAGGTCTCTGAAGTTGAGCTGTACCAACCTGTGGGGTGCTGCAGGTCCAGTTCAGTATTTGACCTTTATTCACTTGTGGGAGGCGATACAGGTTCAGTTCAGTGTTTGACCTTTATTCACCTGTGGGGGGCGCTGCATGTCCAGTTCAGTGTTTGACCTTTATTCACCTAAGGGGGCTTTGCAGGTCCAGTTCAGTATTTGACCTTTATACACCTGTGGGGGGTGCTGCAGGTCCAGTTCAGTATTTGACCTTTATTCACTTGTGGGGGTGATACAGGTCCAGTTCAATAT